TAATCGAGATGGAGAGTGAGGTAGTTGATTCAGAAACTAGGGTGCTGAATCTTAATAAAGGAAACTATGAAGATATGAGGCATGAGTTGGCCTTGATAGATTGGGGAGAGTTACTTAAAGGGACGACAATGGATAAGCAATGGCAAACATTCAAAGAACACATGGGGGATCCACAACAACTGTTTATTCCTCTGGCACAAAAGCAAAAATGGGTAAGAGGGCCAATCCATGGCTTATAAAGGAAATTAGAGATAGTATCTGATACAAAGAAGCATACAGGTTGGCCAAGAAAAATAATATGTCTGAGGATTGGGAGCAATTTAGAATTCAGCAAAGAAGGATCAAGGGATTGATTAAGAAGGAGAAAATACAGTACGAAAGTAAGCTTTCTTGGCACATAAAGACTGACACTAAGAGTTTATATATGTACATGAAGAGAGAGAGATTGGTGAAGACAAACGTAGGTCTCATACAGACGGAAACAGGGGAATGCATAATAGGGGACAAAGAAATGGCTGAGCAACTGAATACATACTTTGGTTCTACCTTCACAAAAGAGGGCACAAATCAGATACTAGAAATTGGAGAATGCAAGATTTAGTGAGAGGGAAGAAGAGGGAGATCAATATTAGTAGAGAAATGGTGCTGAGAAAATTGATGGGATTAAATCCCCAGGGCCTGATAATCTACATCCCAGGGCACGTAAGGAAGTGGCTCCAGAAATAGTGGATGCATTGGTAGTCATTTTCCAGGATTCTATAGACTCTGGAACAGTCCCTGCAGATTAGAGGGTAGCTAATGTCACTCCAATATTCAAAAAAGGAGGTAGAGAGAAAACATGGAATTATAGACCAGTGAGCCTAACACCAGTAACGGGGAACATTCTCAAATCCATTATTAAGGACTTTACAGCAGAACATTTAGAAAGTAGTGGCAGAATCACCACAGATTTATGAAGGGGAGATCATGCTTGACAAATCTGTTGGCATTCTATGAAGATACAACTAGTAGAATTGATGGGGAGTGGGGGTGTGTGGAGCTAATGGACGTGGTTTATTTTTTCAGAAAGTATTTGACAAAATCCCGCATGAGAGATTATAGTGCAAGATTAAAGCAAGATTAAAGATTGGGGGAAGTGTATTGAGACAGATAGGAAATTGATTGGCAGAGAGAAAACAAAGAGTAGGAATTAGTGGGTCCTTTTCAAATTCGCACACAGTAACTAGCGGGGTACCACAGGGATCGGTGCTGTGACCCCAGTTATTCATAATATGTATTAATGACTTGGATATGGGAACAAAATGCAAAATCTCAAAGTTTGCAGATGATACCAAGTTGGCTGGGAGAGTGAACCATGATGAGAATGCAGAGATCCTTCAGCATGATCTGGACAGGTTGGGTGAATGGGCAAATCAATGGCAGATGCAGTATAATTTGTATAAATGGGAGATTATTCACTTCGGAAGGAAAAACAAGGCGGCAGATTACTACCTGAATGAGTGTAAATTGGGAGAGGGGAGTGTGCACCAGCTGCTGAAAGTAAACATGCAGGTGCAGCAGGTAGTAAAGGCAAATGGTATGTTGGCCTTCATTGCAAGAGGTTTTGAGTACAGGAGCAGGGATGTGTTGTTGCAATTATACAGGGCCTTGGTGAGGCCACACCTAGAATATTGTGCGCAGTTTTGGTCTCCTTTTATGAGGAAGAATGCTCTTGCTCTCAAGGGAGTGCAGCAAAGGTTACCAGGCTGATTCCAGGAATGGTGGGTCTGACAAAGGCGGGGAGATTGACTAGGTTAGGATTGTTTTCGCTGGAGTTAAGATGAACGATGGGGGCAGGGAAATCTCATTGAGACTTATAAAATTCTAACAGGACTAGACAGGGTAGATGCAGAGAAGACATTCCTGATGGTGTGTGTCCAGAACAAGGGGTCACAGTCTGAGGATTTGGGGTAGACGATTTAGGACAGAGATGAGGAGACACTTCTTCACCTAATGAGTGGCGAACCTATGGAATTCATTACCACAGGAAGTAGTTGATGCCAAAACATTAAAACATATTCAGGAGGTGGCTAGATATAGCACATCGGGCGAATGGGAATCAAAGGTTATGCGGAGAAAGCAGGATTAGGCTATTGAATTGGACAATCAGCCATGATCCTGACGAATGGCCTCCTCCTGTTTCTATGCAAGGTAAATTAACCAGGACACCACATCGGCATAACGTTCAAGGTGATATGTATATGTGATGTATATGGCCAGCTTCAATCAAATTGATTATCATCACATTACTAACAACTTATACCTCAATAACAGCTTTTAATAAAGGGGTTGGTTAATCCCAGAATTAGGTATAAAAATAAGATTTGAGAGTAATTTTCTTGACTACTTCATTGATTCCACATTAAAGGAATTCCTGTGTTGGGCCAGGTTAACCTAGTTTTTTTTTTGAAAGGAACAGTTTTGATCTCTGTCTCCCTGTGAGTATGACTGGTTTATCAGAGAACAGACACACCTCTCAGTAAGCCAGGTTTCTGGAACTGCAAGGAATAGATGTATACGGATCCTGGGAACAGAAAGATTTCTTATCAGTGAGCTGGTTTGCAGATTGTCCCGATCCATCTTAAAGTCTGTCCCCTGTCTTTAATAGTTTTTCTTATGTTATAATCCTTTATAAGGACAGCTTGAGTATGGCATTAAATTTTAATAAGATCTCTTTTCTAAACTCTAAGATTTTAATGGGGCTTGATAAGGTACATGTTGAGAGATTGCTCCCCCTTGTGGTTGAATCGAACTTGATGGCATAGTCTGAGTAAGCAGTCACCCGTTTAAAACAGAGCATAAAAACATGACTTGTGCGCGGTTTATTACATAGACTGGAATGTTAAAAATGGCTTTACCTGTTGCTAAACATTATAACTCTAGAAAAGTTAAGTGCATTATTTGAATCTTTGTTAACAGTTTCATGATCTGTAAGTTCTGCCAAACTGGCATTCACATTCATAATGTTACTGTAGATGTAGGTTACAGTTAAGATCCAAGCATCTCTTGGATACTTCAAATGATGGGAAATATCTTGCAACATTACACTCTAAAATTTAGGCACTAAATTCAGATATCTAGTTAAATCAAGTTCTCATTGAAATCAGAATCATCCTCTTTTTTGACTCTAAGCTTTTCTCTAGCCAAGTCACGTAGTATGATTTCACACTCTTTGAAGTTGAAGCTTTCGAAATAATTTCTTTATTAGAAACATCAATTTCCAGTTTTTCCCATCAATTCTACATATTACAACAATGCCTGTTCTTCCTCAGGAGGCTAAGGAGATTCGGCATGTTCATAAGCACTCTCACCAACTTTTAGAATGCTTTTTATGGTGAATCTATATGTGGATGCATCACGACTTGGTATGGCAACTGCTCTACCCAGGACCGTAAGAAACTACCAGAAAAGTTGTGAATGCAGCCCAGACCATCACACAAGCCAACCTTCCATCCATCCATTAACTATCTACACTTCTTGATGCCTCAGAAAAGCAGCCAACATCAAAGACCCCTCCCACCCCAATTATCATCTCTTCCAATCTCCTCTGTCAGGCAGAAGACAACAGGTTAAACACACAAAGGTTCAAGAATAGCTTCTTCCTGGCTTTTTTTAGGCTTCTGAATAGACTTCAAATTTCAAATCTAATATTGAACTTGCTTTTTGTGGACCTTCTTTGCAGCCATAACTTTGTACGCCTTGCTCTGTTCAATCATCCTATGATCTTTGACGGTTATGATCTGCCTATGCTGCACGCAAAGTAAAACTTTTCACTGTACTTACGTACATGTGACAATAATAAATCAAATCAAATCGTTATATAATAATTTCAGCAACACATCCTTACAAGATAACACAGTGGAGCTGGTGGAACACAGCAGGCCAGGCAGCATCAGATGAGCAAGAAAGTTGGCATTTCGGGTCGGGACCCGGAACATCAAGTTTCCTGCTGTTCTGACGCTGCCTGGCCTGCTGTGTTCCTAATGCTCCACATTGTGTTATCTCTGACTCCAGCATCTGCAGTTCTTACTATCTTTGACATCCTTATGAGACCCTGCTTTTATTTCTATCTTCAATTTATCCACTAACTAGTGCAGCTCAGACTCAGCCAAAGGTTTGAATAACATTCAAGTTTATAACCCTAGAAAAGCCTAAACAACAGGCACAGCCAGTGGGAAGAAAGCGAGAAGCTAACTCCTGGGATGAGGGAGCTAAGAGCAAAAGGTTCCCTTAGCATCTTTCATTAGGAGAAAATTGGTTGATTTAAAGTAGTTCTTCAATGTCTGAGCATGTCTTCTACCATATCACAGGTCTTTCTTTACAAAATCCTTCATTTTACCTACTTAAAACCTATCGAATTTCTAATTTTTCAGGATGAAAGGTCATTGACCTGTAGAGTTACTGTTTCTCTCTCCAGAGATCTGGACAGATAGGGAAAAAAAATGCTTTGATGCAGATCTCATTCAGGTCAGTTCTCAGTAACTTCTTTTAAAAGATTATGGGTAAAAAAAAAGTGTTCCCACAGCTTTCTTCTAGCTCATTCCCTGTGATAAAACACAAAAACAAAATGCAGGGTCACTGATCAAAAATGCTAACACCTACACAATTCGCAGATGCTGCCTGTCCTACGGAGTTTCTCCAATACTTCGTTTTTATTTCGGATATCCATCATTTACAGTATTTTGCATCTGGATCAGTCCTAGTGATGTTGAGAATTCCTCAGAATTCTTAGCTATAATTGTCCCAAGAATCATGACCCAAACCTGGACACAGCATTTAAAGTACAATCTGAATTGTTAGCTGTGGACTTGATAGACTGACCAGAATGGCTCATCCCATGAATGATTTTCCATAATCCAGAAGTAGGCTAGCACTTCCAAAACAGAGGAAGAAATTATTTGCAAGTGGGTGAGTGCATGGTAAATCTGCTACATCATTGTTAACAAAATACATCAATTAAATTCAATGTTTTAAAATGTTTATAGTAGTCAAATGATTTGCCAGTATTACTCAGTTTGAGAAAAAGTCCACTTAATGTAGCCCGGTGACGTAGAGCATTCTAGACACATCCAACAGCAGAACACAAAGACACTGTTACAGCACAGAAAGGAACATCCTTCAGCACTCAAAATGACTTCGCCTGTTGGCTAGAATCTAGCTCGGTGTTGTCTTGACTGCAGGTTCTGGGAATGTTACCAGAACTGATCCAGTCAGCATCAAGCAATGGGAAAGCAGCAGCAAATGAGAATTGTTTGAAGGTTTAACAGGGCCCCCTCAAAACCCAAATATTGGCTGGGGCCACCACTGAATATGATGTTCAAGCCATCTGCACACAAACATTTCCCCAAACCAAACTGAATTTCAAATTTATTTGTGCCCATAAACATCATTGATAGGAACTGGACTTTTGAAAATGAGGAGGGAAAAATATTTATTAATTGTTATATTAGCAATAGGTTATTGCATTGAACTGCAATCATTGCAGGTTTCCAACTGATAGCATGGTTTACATGTATTTAGCAGGGAAGGGTGTAGAAGAGGTTGAGGGGTTTGTTTAATTGATCAGTGTACTAATTTATAGATAAACAAATAGTAATAAAAGTTCCAAGGCTGGAATAGTGTAAACAAATCTCTGGTTGCTAGTCTGGGGAACCAAGAGCGATCAATTCCTTGAAGTGAGGAAATGGGAGGGAGATGCCAAAAGTGGGCCATAATCACAGCCTCGCTTGATGAAAGCAGCAAGTCAGTGACAGTCTGTCCTCGCAGCCCAGTTCGGAAAGTAGCTGGGCTGAAGATTGCAGTCTCATAGAAATCCTTCTTTGCGAAATTGTTCCTGGAGAATGTCTTTATACTCGTCAAAGCCACCATCCACTCGCTTCACAGTACCACAGCCGCACACCCACAGCTCCTTGCACACCATACGGATCAGCCGTTCATCGTGAGATACCAGGATCACTCCACCCTGTCGTCAGAGCAGACAGCATTATTGCAGCAACAGCAAATTCAACATTAGCTTTTAAAGAACAATTTAAAAGGACCCTGACTCAGGGAGTAACTCTCTCAACTGAGGTGGAAGTTTGCAGTTCAAGCTTCATTCCAGAGAGCTGAGCCCATAATTCAGACTGACATGACCAGTACCGTTACTGAGGGTACAGCCTCTTTCAGAGAGGGTATGAAAATGCTGCCTCGGGTAGAAGTAAAAGATCCCACACAATGCTTAAAAAGTAGCAGGGTGGCTTCCCTTAGCATGATGGCATATATTTATCTGTCAATTAAGAACGTTCTTAAACTATCCTTGACTGCAAGGCAACTGGCACAAAAAATGTATGGATAACTTGCTACAAAGGTACAGGGGATTGGTGACACTGCACCTGGAGAATTGGTGCAGTTTTGGTCTCCTTAAATGAGGGATATCCTTGAAGTGGGAGCCATAAGACCATAAGACCATATGATATACGAGCAGAATTTGGCCCATTGAGTCTGCTCCACCACTCCATTCTCCTGCCTTCTCCCTACACCCTTGATCCTCTTATCAATAAACAGCTTATCTTGGTCTTAAATACATTCAATGACTTGGCCGCCACAGCCCGAAGCAGCAATAAGTTTGAGTCACCAACCTCTGGCTGAAGAAATTCCTCATGTCAGTTCTAAAAGGTTGCCCTTCACTCTGAGGCTGTGCCCTTGTGTCCGAGTCTCCCCTATTAATCGAAACATCTTCTCCACATCCACTTTATTGGGGCCTCTCAATATTTTGTAAGTTGCGATCAGACTCCCCCTCATCCTTCTAAACTCCATGAAGTACAGACACTGAGCCCTCAACTGCTCCTCACACAAGTCCTTCATCCCTGGGATGATTTTTGTAAACCTCCTCTAGACCCCCTCCAACACGAGCGCATCTTTCCTATTGTGACCAAAACTGCTCACAATATTTCAAATGCAATCTGACCAGAGCCTTATACAGCCTCAGCTGCTCTTGAATTCTAGCCCTCTTGAAATGAATGCTAACATTGCATTTGCCTAATTGCCAAATGAACTTGCATGTTAACCTTAAGAGAATCCTGAACTCCATTGTGCTTCAGATTTCCAAAGCCTTTCCGCGTTTAGAAAATAGGCTACGCCTTTATTCTTCCTACCAAAGTCCATAACCTCTCACTTTCCCACATTGTATGCCATTTGCCACTTCTTTTCCCATTGTCCTAGCATGCCCAAGTCCCTTTGCAGCCACCCTGCTTCCTCAACCCTATCTGTCCCTCCACCTATCTTTATCACCTGAAAATTTACCAACAATGTCCCCAGTTTGTTCGTCCAGATCATTAATGTGTAGTATGAACAGTTGTGGTCCCAACACAGACCCCTGCAGAACTATACTAGTCACCAACTGCTATCCTGAAAAAAATTCCTTTATCCCCACTTCTGCATTCAGCCAGTCAGACAATCCTCTATCCATTCTGTGCCCCTAACACTATGGGCTCTTATCTTATTTAGCAGCCTCCTATTTGGTACCTTGTCAAGGCCTTCTGGAAATCAAAATACATCACATCCATTGAGTCTCTTTTGTGTATCCTGTATCTTTACCTCCTCAAATAATTTAAGCAATCAAATAAGGTTCACTGGAATGATTCCTGGGATGAAGAGGTCGGTTTATGAGGAAAGGTTGAGCAGCTCAGACCTATGCTCATTGGAGTTCAGAAAAACGAGTGATGGTCTTATTGAAACATGTAATACTCTGAGGGGGTTTAACAAAATGGATTTTGAGAGAACATTATCCCTTGTGGGAGAATATAGAACTAAAGAACACAATTTCATTCTCCTAATTAAGAGGCAATTGAGAAGAAATGCCTTTTCTCAGAATTGCTAGTCTTCAGAGTTCTGTTTCCCAGAGAGCAGTGCATACTGGGTCTTTGAATATATCCAAGGCCGGATTAAGGAGATCATATACTGACAGCGGAATCAGGGTTCTGGAACAGGCAGTAAGCACAGGTAAGGCCACAAACAGATCAGGGATCATCTTACAAAATGGCAGTGCACGCTGAATGGGGCACTTCTATTGGTTATGATCGAATCATCAAATGATTGCAAGATCATTGAAACAGATTATCTTGATAATATCTCTGTTAATCTTGCTGTGGTTAGATTTGCTGCCTGGTTTCCCACACTTGAACAATAACTACACTTCGAAAGTAATTAATCGAGTGGAAAAGACTTTGGGATAACCATGGTGAAAGGCACGATAGAAAGGAAAGGAGAAAAGACAACACAAACTTTCTTACCAAAGGTCAGTATTAATAGACTGGGGCTGTCATTTCGTTTCAGGTTCTTGGAGCCAGATTCAGACCCATGGAATATATGAAAAGCTTTGCGTGGTATAGGGGTGGAGTCTAGCATGTTTATAAAATTCTGTTTGCCATTTGGCAAACAAGTATTGATCAATATCCAGCTGCAAAATGTCCAGGAGGTGGGGGTCACATAGCAACCAAGAATGGAAACTGTAGGTATTCCATCCCCACTTCCCTCTAATCCCTGACAAATTGTCCCAACTGTACTGCTACCAGGATTTTGTTTTAATTATTTTGTGGATAAAAAGAAACAATGAAACCAAATCTAAAAATCTGACAAATTACTTTCTCTGTCTAGCCCAAAATTGTGTAGATTGTTTGCTACAAGGAGTTATACAGTATGCAAACAGACCTTTTGGTCCAACTGGTCCATACCGAACATAATCCCAAACTAAACTAGTCCCACCGGCCTCGTTCGCTGATTAGGAACTAAATTGCATAATTAGCACTGGTTGGTAGTCTCAACTCATTCATATAGTGCAATCAGGGGAACTTTAACCTTGTGTATGCGAACAAAACGCAAAGAGGAACAGCAGAAAGTTTTGTATTTTACTTCCTTAGTGACCGAAAGGTGGAAGACATTGAACACTAGGAAAAATACATGTCTGAGGCTGGAATGGCTTGCCAGTGACTCTAAATGATAAGCAATTGTTTAATTGGCAGACAAGGGACACCTCCAAGCATTGGCTACATCTGAAATCAGACCCCGAGGTGGAGGGGCAATATCTAAGATAATAGTCGGTAACAGGCTTATGTAGCCTCTAATGGACAATAGCAGAGGTTGAAGGGTGGATGCCATGATCAGTTTGCTCATTGTGGTGCAGGAAGCCATTCAAGTGGGAAGGGGTAATACAAATGTAGTGATAGTAGTAGTCAGTATAATCAGCTAACAGCAAGAGTCCAGTAGGCTGTGTTTCCTGCCAGTGCCAGGTTTCAGGAAATCTGTTCCAGATTTTTAAAAAGATTAGTTATGCGTAGGATGCATGTGTTGCTGGCAATTAATGTCCATCTCGAAATGCCCTGGAGAAAGTTGTGGTAAGCCACCATCTTGAACTACTGCAGTCCTGGAGGTGTAAGTGTACTTTATGTTGTTAAGGGAGTTTCACAATTTTGGCCCAGTGACACTGAAGGAATAGTAATATATTTCCAGGTCAGGAATGTGTGTGGCTTGGAGGGGGAACTTGAAGGCTGTGGTATTACTTTAAATTTATTGCCCTTGTTCTTCTAAAGGATTGTAAATTTCGAAGGTGATATCAAAGGAGCCTTGGCAGGTTGATGTAGTGCATCTTGTAGATGAAACACACTGCTTAGAGTGTTGTTAAAGCTGCATCCATCCAGACAAGTGGAAATGATTCCACCGCTCTCCTGACTTGCAGTGTCTTAGAGATGCTGGACAGGTTTAGGGGATTCAAGAGATAAGTGTACTTGCTGCAGAATTCCTAGTCTCTTTACTTGCTTTTGTAGCCACAGGAGGGGAGGCGATGCCTAGTGGTATTATCGTTGGACTGTTAATCCAGAGACCTAGATAACATTTTGGGGACCCGGGTTAGATTCCTGCCATGGCAGATGGTGGCATTTGAATTCAATAAAATACCTAGAATTAAGAATCTAATGATAACCATGAATCCATTGTCGACTGTTGGAAAAATCCATCTGGTTCACTACTGTCCATTAGGGAAGGAAACTGCCATCCTTACCTCGTCTGGCCTGCGTGTGACTCCAGACCCACAACAATGATTCTGAATGATTCTGAACTACCCTACGGACAATTAGGGATGGGCAATAAATGCTGCCTAGCCAGCAACGCCCTCATTCCGTGAATGAATAAAGAATAAAAAGCGCACGTGGCTGGTCCGATTCAATTTTTGGAGAATGGCAACTCCCTGGATGTTGATGGTGGGGATTCAGCAATGGCAAGGTTATTGAATATCAAGAGGAGATTGTTAGATTTTCTTTCTTGTTGGAGATGGTCTTTGCTTAATCCAAGCCTAATTTCCAGATATTGCTGCATACGCACACAGGCTGACTGACAGGACTTGTAGTGGGAGAAAGATGATCCAGTTGCTGTGGTCCATGTACATAACAAATAAGTAAGATCAGAAAAGAAATTCTGTAGAGGGTCTATGAACGGTTCGAGGATAAATTAAACAGCAGGACTTCAACTGCAATAATTGCAGTTATTACACGAGGCATGAGCTAACTGACATATGGTAAACAAGTTTGGACAGTTAATGCATTGTTCAAACACTGGTCTGGGAGAAATGGGTTTCAATTCATGGGACACCAGCACCAGGTTTGAGAAATTGGAGCTGTATTGTTGGGATAGCGTTTACTTAGAACATGCAGAACTGTGTTCTGTCTAGTCATACAATGAGGGGAGAGAAGGCCTTAAACTAAATAACGATGAACAAGGAAGAATTGATGGAAGATTTTAAAAATTAGAGAGAGAACAAGTCAAAACAGCAAGATAGTGAGAAAGGAAATGATAATCAGAGCATCTCAGGAAGGCACAGTGTACAAATTTAACAGTGCATTACTGAATTATGCTAGAGATTGCGAAAAAGTAAAAAGACAGAACTAAAGATTCTCTAACTGAATGCTTGTTAATTAATAATTAATCGCAATTAAACAAAAGGATTGACAACTCAACGGAGCAGTTCTGAGACCTCTGACTTAAAACCTAGTATAATGATTTGGAAAAAGCAACCAAATGTATGGTTGCCTAATTTGCTGATGACACAAAAATAGGTAGAAAAGTAAATTGTAAAAGAGACAAAGGAATCAAAAAGATATACATGGGTAAGTGTGAGGGCAAAAAAAAAGATGAAGTGTAATGTGTAAAAACGTGAATGCATCCACAGTGTATGTTACTTCCTCAAAGAACTCCAATAGATTGGTTCAACATGTTTAACAAAACCACGTTAACTCTGCCTGATTATCTTGAAGTAATCTAAATGCCCTATAATTTCCTGTTTTCTGTCTCCTTCCCTTCGGAATAAAGGAGCTATATTTGTCATTGAATCAAGGGAGTTTTGGAAAATTAAAATCAATTCTCACATTAGCTACTTCTTTTAAGACCCTAAGACAAAATCCAACAGCCCTGCAGCTCCAACAATTTACTCAGCATCACTTCTGAGGATTGTAATCATCCTGAGTCCTTACCCCTCATTTCCTGATTTAGAGCTGCTTCTGGGATGTAACTTGCATCCTCTATAGTAAGACTGATGCAAATTACCCATTCAATTCATCTGACATCTACTTTTTCTCCATTATTAATTCTCTAGATTAACTTTCTATAGGACCAATACTTAATCTGTTAACACTTGCATATTTGTTGAAACTCTCATGAACTGTTTTTATATTTCTTACCACCCTTCTCTTGTACTGTAACTTTTTCCTAATTCATTTTCTTGGTCATTCTTTGCTTTTTACAAATTGTCTGTCCAATTTTCTGACCTGTCACCTTTCTTTGAACAATTATATGCTTTTTCATGAAAGGTTAAAGATAGTAACAATTTTAGATAACCACAGACTGTGCACCAGTCCTTAATTTTTTCCTTAGTGTATAGAATGTACCTATTCTATGCATTCTGAGATATCCTCTAAATGTCTGCCATGAGATCTCTTTTGACCAAATCCTTTAACCTAATTTCGCAGCATAGTCGCTATGCCCTCAGTTCCTCTCCACCTTCTCCTAAGTGTCCTACACCCTCAAGATTCCAATCTCAATCCATCTCATTTTGCAGCATGTCTCTGTAATGGCTATCAGAACATATTATTTATTTATATTTGTGCTCTGAATTCATCTTTGTTCAAATGTTGTGTGCATTCAGAGAGTTTCCAGGTTATTCGTTTTGTAAAATCTAGTTTTATCATTAGTACACACTTACATTTTTACTTTCCATCCCGTTCTGTCACAGTCTGTTTGCCTTTTTCCATATTTCTGTGGTCATTACTCTTCAATTTACCATGTCTTCCTAAATTTGACCTTATCCCCACTATTTAGCTTAAAAACACTTCTTTTCTCCAGCTGTGTGGCTGGCAAGAATATTAGTTCATCAGCTTTCACCTAGAATGGCAAGGCAGGCTTAATGGGCTGAATGGTCTACTCCTATTCCTATGTTCTTATGTTAAACCAAGGCCTGATTTGCCTTCACATGAAGAAAGAAAACGCGTCAAGACAGATTTCTAAGAGTTACGCTCAGTATGTTGGTCAATATTTATCCACTAACGTAAAATTAGAAAGACACATCATCATTATATTGCTGTTTTTGGGAGTTTAATTTGTGATAATTGATTGTGACATTTCCTATGCTGTAACAGTGACTATACATCATGAATACTTCCAAGAGGAGATCATGACGCAGTGGTAATGTCACTGGCAGGCTAATGATCCAGGAACACGGGTTCAATTTTCACCGTGGCAACTTATAAAGTTTAAATTTAATTAGTAAATCTGGAATATAAAGCTGGTGGACCACAGCCGTTCAAGAAGGCAGCTCACCACCATCTTCTCAAGGGCAAGTAGGGATGGGCGATATAATGCTGGCCAGCCAGCAATGCTCACAACTCACGAATGAATAAAAGAACAGAATATTGGTGACTTATGATAACAGAGATCGTTCCAAAAACCTATTTGGATCGCAAGTCCTTGAGGACTAGAAATCTGCCACCCAACTTACAAACAGATGTACTGGGTTGAGCAGGCCGCTCGGCACCTCGAGCCCTTTCCGTTCAGTAAAATCATAGCTGATTTGATTACTCCACACTTCTGCCAATTCCTGATAATTGGTCACACCTTTACTGATCAAGGATCTCTGCCTTGAAACTTTTCATGAATTCTGTTTCCACTGCCTTTTGAAGAAGAGTTCCAAAGACTCAGGACCTTCAGAGGAAAGAATTTTCTGTTTCTGTCTTATCTGGTCTACATGCAACTTCAGACACACACAGTCCTGATTTTGCTTTTGGAAGTAGCCCTTGCAAACATTTCTACCTTAAATTTTTGTAGTGCGTTTCCCAATGCCTCAATGGTCTCCATGTCAAGATGGTTTGTAGGTTCATCCAGGATGTAAAAGTTGGGCCTGGAATTCAAAAACAAATATTACATTATTCACAATAAGTGAATGAAATAACAAGCCTCGCATGATCAATAAGACAACATACTTAGCATAAAGGCTGCAGATTTATACCATAAGAAGTTTAGGACTCTCCCATATCAGTCAGCAGCTGAAAAAGACAAGGACTTAAAGAAGATCTAAGAAAAAAGCAGGGAGTTGGTGGAGAAATCCACAAGAGCCAGTGCAGCTGTGATGGGCCAAGCTGCCATCTCCTGTAGTATACCCTTCTGATTACCAAGACTGCAGTACGGGCTCAAAAGCTGATTTCAGCAGACTGCAGGGTAGAAGTTACAAGAGACAACGTGTTTGAGCGCGCGAATGTTCAACCATATTACCTGGTAAGCATTTGCATGTGGAACCAGCATGGAGGACAACCAACTTGGCTTAGAGGTAACTCTCTGATGCTCAGAGTGATTAATATTCACTGGGAAACAATACTAGAGAATGAGCTAACCCCAGCTAAAAATCAAAATCTTCAAGGAGATTACTAAGAGGAGAATAAAAACAAGAGATAAATAGAAGTTGCATGAATTCCTTGGGCATAGGCTGGAGAAAACAAATATTTCCCACAAGGTGAGTGAGGCTGAACAGTAGATCAGGATGTGGGTGGAGGGAGAGAAGGAGAAGAAAACTGGAGCAGCAAGACCTAAGTGGGGGAGGAGTTTTGACAATACAAGCAATTGTAGGAGACGAGAGCACTTTGGCTCTTGTGAACTTACATAGATGTCAGTTCTGCAATAGAAAGCAGCTGGTATAGTGGGAACAGCAAAGAACTAGCATCTCCAGGAGGAGGGAAAATAAGAGAAGAATGGCTGAGTTTCCAGACTGAAATTCAGGGAGTTAGTGTTTACTCTGCAGCAGAGACCAGGTGAAATACACGAACAGAAAATAAACATCGACCAAGAAAGACATGTTGCTCACTGGGCCATTGTCATCTGTGCAAATGCCACTCTACTCTTCTGTCCTCCAGACAAACTGGCAACTGGCCGGACAGCCAGGTCTCCTGATATCCCATAGCCACCGAGCTGGTGTCGGTATTCCTCCTCTGGCCTCCCTGCAAACACGGGAACAACAAACACAAGAAAAACAAAAGTAGCAAATGGGTCAGTGTCAGTCCAGTATCTGTGATATGGTGAAGCCATAGAGCATTCGGTATGTCTGGATACAACCGGAAACCAACATCAAACTCGGTCAATATATGCACTTTTTTCACTATATAGCATCACTCCTTGGCTTCTGGATGAAATGTGTTTGGGGGTGTTGCTCATGAACTACAGGAATGGCAGGACCACGGAGAGGAAGGAGAAGGTGATGACAATGTTCCCAATGTCATGTACTAAACTCAACTAAAAGTAGTTCCAATTAGCAGCCCTAACACCCTTTCATGCAAATTTCACAAATATCTTATTTGTATCTAGGCTCCAGAGCTATAGGACAGTGTAAAGTAGATTATAAGGATGGTAGCAGCAATACAAGGTTACTAACTGTCAAAAGTTGACTGTGCAGAGTCTCTGTTCTTGAAAACACAATGTTGAGTGTGTGAAGCAGTCTTTAAAATTATACAAAGTTTTGATTGTTAGATAAACATTAGTGTGTTTGTGGAGAAGAGAAAATCTAAGGGCCATAAATATATAGTCTCCAAGGAATCCACGAGGAACCTCGAAACAAAACTTTTTTAACTCAGATTAGAACTTGGTACCACAGGGAGTGAAAGTGAACAGCATTGATGCATGTAAGATCAAGTGAGAAAAATATATGATAAGGTAAGAGGTGAATGGTAAGAGGTGAAAGTCAGTGGAGCTTCAAATGTTTGCATGAACTGGTTACACATAGAGTGGCTGATTTCTGTGTTTTTCTCCCCTGTAACTCTAGGTATTTAATCTTGGGATTTCTGCAAGCCAACATTGAATTAAGAGCAAGCTATTGGCAGAATTGTCCAAGAGTGAGTTCTGGCTTTGTGCAAAAACGTCCTCAATCCAGAATTTTACATTTAGCCACTCCAGTTTAGGGATTTTCAACCCGAATGTAATGGTTTGCAACACTCAATATCTCCACTCTTATGAGCACTATTCCTACGATAGATTCTCGGTCCTCCTTACCTGGAAACTTCGATGCCAAGAGTTCGACTGAGCTGACGTTCATTTCCAACTGGTCCACGTGGTGCTGACTAAAATAGCCAATTTTTAAATTTCTGTCCAGAGAAAACAACAAAAAATGAAATTGTAGCAACAGACAGAACTGTCATTTATCTTCCCCTTGCCCTGAAATAGTGACTCAAACTGGGATGCAAGTGCACTGCCTTGTCCATCCCTCCTGTTAGGACTATAGGAAAGAGCAATTTGCTCACACTTTCTGCCTTGGTTCAAACACAGCTTCTTTAGCAACATGGGCAATAACTTTTTTTTTTTTTTTAAAACAGAGTTATCTAGAAGAGACAATGAATTATAGTGCTGCTAAACCAAAGAATATAATATAATGCTGGAGCCAACTTGAAGTGTATTCATTTTTCTGATAAAATTGCTGTCTGCTCATATGAAATACAATATAACAAAAGGTTGCACTATAAGAGTGTGGGTAGGTTCCAATCTCATAAAGACCAACCCCTCAAAAAATGAAAAAGTAAACATGAATCAAAACAAATGTTTTAAACTGACATAAAACAGCCTGTAGCAAAGGCCAGGTTAGGATGACTGGAGAGGCAGAAACACAGGGGAACAAAGCACCGGGAAGGTAGAGAAAATAGAGCATTGGCTGACAGACAGAATATAAGGGTAAGGGGAGAGCGGTTTAGAAACAGGTCCTGAGACAAATTTTCAAAATATTACAGAGTTATAGTTTGTAGGACATCTTTTGGCAAGCATCTTTAACATTCCAGCCACAGAGCTGCTGATGTACAGTACATGGAGGATAGCCAACATTCGAACATTAATCTATTGTAGAGCCAAGGATTTTCCTTATTGATCCAGTGTACTGCATTTACACATACCTTTCTTCTCGATGTTATGTTTACTGCCTTAAGTTCCCTTCTCACTTTCCACCCTTGGGGGCCATGGCTGATTAAGGGCAAATGATCTCCATTAAGCGTCAATATTGTCAAAACATTCTTCACCCCACGTGACTGGATGTGCTGTACTATCCAAGCAGTTTCCCAATGCAACATGTCAGAGATCCAGGGTAGGACCACATTGCAATCCCATCAGTACAATCACTCATATGCAGAGGTTTGATACTGTCTCAATGAAATTCAGAGACTTGGGTAAACTCACAGACATGTGTAATTAAGCCCATGGAAGCTCATCCATTTTAACATTGCCTCCCTGTATGACATTTGAGCATATTTGGTTGCACAAGATGTGGATGTTGCAAGCAAAGCCGACCCTTAAAGACAGACCCTTTAATATAGCAAAACATTAAAGGCACACCACAGAAAAAAATTTACTGAACAAAATTTGACACAAAAGGATATCAGGCAGGTGACCAGAAGCTTAACCAACGAGGAAGGTGTGAAGGAGTGGCTTACAGAAGGAAAAATGGAGAGGTTTGGGATTTTGGGAAGTGGTGCTCATAGATATGGAGGTTCAAAGAATTAGAGAGAACATGATCATGGAGGAATAGACAGCATGGATGAAAATCTTCTAACTGATCCACGCTAACTGAAAGTTGAAGCAGGTTGGTAAGCAAGGGGTGATAGTTCTATTTCCTTCACTGGGTGTGGACATTGCTGGCATTGAACTGAGAAACCTGCTAAGTCATTTTAAGAGGGCAATTAAGAGTCAACTGCATTGCTGTCAGCTTGGAATCACATGTAGGTCAGACCAGACTTGGGAAGAAAATCTGCCATTCTTACGGACATTAGTGAACTAGATATGTTTCTACAATAATTGAAGATTGTTTCATCAAAACATAAAATAGGAAGAGGAGAAATCAGCCATTCGACCCATTGAGCCTGTTCTGCTAATCAAAATGATCTTGGATGATCCACCATCACAATGCTATACTACCACACACTCTCGAGCCCTTAAGTTTTCATGTCTCGAAATCTATTTCTTTCTTAAATATATTCAGTGATTTGTCCTCTACTGCCTCGTGTGGTTCAGAATTTCACAGCTTTATCACTCTCCAAGTAAAGCAATCTTTCCTCATCTCGGTCCTAAATGGCCTACCCTGTATCCAGAGACTGTCTCCTTGTTCTAGGCCAGGGGAAACATTTTCCATGCATTGAATCTGTTCAGTCCCGACATAAATTTACATGTTTCAATGAAATCCTTCCTCATTCTTATTCTTCCAAACTCCGTTGAATATCATAAGACGTAGAAGTAAGCATTTTATCCCTTGGAGACAATAAGGACTGCAAAGACTAGAAGCAATAAGGACTGCAGAGACTGGAAGCCAGAGTCCATAGGTGTGAGGTTGGAAAAGCACAGCAGGTCAGACAGCATCTAAGGAGCAAGGTAAGTCAACATTTTGGGCCAAAACCCTTTATCCAGCTGGCTAGTGGGGTGGGGGAGCCCAGACAAAAATAGAGGGGGGTGGGGCTGTGGGGTAAGGGTAAGAGAGATGGTGATAAGTGGATGCAGGTAGGGGGTTATTATGATTGGTCCATGGGAAGGTTGGAGCAGATAGGTGAACAGGAAGATGAACAGGTTAGGTCAGATCTGGCAGGAGAGAGCTAGACATGGAATATGGCTGGGGGTGGAGTGATTTTGAAGCCTGTGAAGTCAATATTAAGGCCATTGGGCTTGACACTTCCAAGACAAAATATCAGGTGTTGTTCCTCCAGTTTATGTTTGGCCTCACTCTTGACAGTGGAGGCGACCAAGGATGGACATGTCATCAGGGAAGTGGGAAGGGGAATGGGAATTAAAATGGATGGCAAATGGAAGGTTGGATTGGTTGTGTGCAGAAAACAGATGCTCCGCAAACCAGTCCCAGAGTCTGTGTTTGGTCTCCACGATTTCGAGGAGACCTCATCGGGAGCAACAGATGCAATAGATAACGTCAGACGAAGTGCAGGTGAATCTCTGCCGGATCTGGAAGGATTGTTTCGGGCCTTGGACAGAAGCGAGAGGGGAGCAATGGGGGCAGGTGCTGCACCTCTTGCTTTGCAGGGAAAGATACCCAGTGTGGTGGAGGAATTGGTGGGGAGTGTAGAGTTGATGAAGGAGTCGCACAACGAATGTCCTTTTAGTCCTCACATACCACCCCACCAACCTCCGGATCCAAAGCAGCATCTTCCGACATTTCCACCATCTACAATCAGACCCCACCACCACCAAGATATGTCCCTCCCAACCCCTGTCCGCTTTCCGCAGGGACTATTCATTCAGTGACTCGCTGTGATGTTGGTGGTGGCGGCAATGGTGTCGGGGATGTGGATTTGCAGTGGTAATGCAATTGAATGTCAAAGGTTAGATTCTCTCTTGTTTGCCATGTTACCACAAACTGTACCTATGAGCATGTCTGATACCCTGAACCGGTGTCAGGTCTCCAAGCAGTATCTTTAACAGTGTTGTTTTACCAGCCCCGTTCTCTCCAACCTGTTGACAGAAGACTGTGATTAGAGGTTGCCAACAGTATACAAGGACTTTACAGTAACAACCATAACAGTCTAAAAGAAAGGAGGGCAAAATGCACTAAATGGCAAGTTTGCTGAAGCATGTGCTGAACATGCAACTTCTGTAGACCTTTTAATGCATAGTTGCATACTCAATGTACTGTCCAATGCCCATTGAAGCAGCTCCTGCCGGCGAGACCATAGTACTTTCAGAAAACAAATGCCCTAATGGGCATTCCCTACTTCACTAACGGTTGCAATCCCATCAAAACTTCACTTACACCTCATCCCTGTAGACCATCATTGTCTTCTCTTCCCCATGTTGAAAGAATCAACCCGGTCTGATTATAATAACATAAATATTAGCGACTGACTGGTGCATTACCTAAATGGCCATTACTGGGTAGTGATCCTTTTTGACTCTGTGAAGAATCACATTCTTAGTCATTACTATTGCATCCCCTATCTTGCCCTTTCCTGCACTGACTCTTCAATCAGGGCAACAGACAGAAGCAGGTACTTGAACTATGCCCAAGGGAACTGATGCCAGTCATTGCAGCTGCAGCACTAGCCTGTCTTAAAGAAAATGCTGGGAACCCCAGGCAGGATGTATGTTTGCAGATGTGTATCCGATAGTCTATATGCAGTGAATAGTTTGCAGAAATATAATCATTTGGCTGCAGGAGAACAATGGACATTCAAACTAAGAGGCAAGTGCTATCCTTAGTCAAGCAAAAAACACTGCAAATTTTAAGATGGATACAAAAATAAGGGAAAAACCATACATACAATGCAAATCCGCGAGTCCTGGTCAGCTGACACAGACAGATTTACAAAAATGCGATGCTCAGGGGAGTAGCTGAAGTCCACTTCAGTCAACTGTAATATTGGAGGGGACAACTTCTCAAAATTGTCAGGAAATCTGCAGAGGAACACAATTATAGAATCTCAGTGCACACAGGGAACACAATGCATGTCAAATCACTAACAAAGTAAGTGTAATACTTTACACCATGGGGGGGGGGGGGGGGGGGGGAAGACATTAGTAAATTAAAATAACATGTCCTGTTCTGTCTTCCTTCACTTTTCAAAGCTTTAGCAATAACATGCCATGTCCCACACAGCAACTGAACAAATTACAAATCAATGCTTTACTATATTATGACATTATGAAAAGATTTTTTCGGTAAAGAGAAAAGCTGTTCAGTTCAACCAACTGCACCTTTCAAAACAGATTTCAACTCCACCAACACACCTGCTCATCATATTCTTCATTCCTTCCTACCTGCGTACAATATTTCTTAATTACTGCATTCACCAGAAGCACACCTAGTCATCACAGCCCTTTTCATACAACATGGCCTTCCTTGGTCATTTATTTTGAAACTTAATTCTCTTCAACTTAACAAACCCTCTCCGCTAATTCCTCACTTTCCTTCTCATGGCTAACCATCTAATTTTAGCTGTTTCTCACAACACCTGACTAGTTTGCAATTGGTGCTGTCAACCCAAATCCTCCAAGTCCTCTGTGCAGTTCCAGTAACTATACTATTGGAAGGACATGATTACAGAGAGGTGTAGAAGAGATTTTCCATGATATAGCCTCAAGACATTAAAGAACTATGTGGAACGACACTTGAAATGCCATAGCATACAAGATTGCAGGCCAAGTGCTGGAAGACAAGGTCAGAATAGATGAATGTTTGATGACCAGCACAGACACATTTTACAGCACTGAAAGAGGTCTTTCAGCACAAAGTCTGACTCTAAGTAGCTCCAATATCCTCTATGCAAGCATTCAATTTTTCTCTATGCAACTGAAACAGAGGAATAACTGCAATCTTTGACTCATGTTTGAAGCCAGCTGTATTGCAGATATTAGTGGTCCATTTCTTGCCTGCCACATAGAAAGCTATGTCTTAATTTTCACCCAATGCACCAGCTTTTACAGGCTTTCGGAGTGGATTTTCAAATGCCCCAGCGTAAACACAATTACTTACTTGTATGCTGCATCACTCCATGATTTCATTGTGCCAAACTAACCTTATAGTCACCTCCAGTTCCTTTTCAAGAGGTTTCAGCTCTGGCCTGAAGGAATGAAACAATGAAGAGAAATTCAAGATACGTGAAAAACAATTACATAACCCAAATACACAATTGCAAAATTAAATCCAGACATTCACTATAGGTCAAAGTCTCAAGAAAAGCAAATTAGAAGTGAAGGTGGACCCTTTGTTTAAGATCGTCAGAGATTCCATCTAAAACAATAACCTGCCTTCCTTACACCATCTGATCACCTCTAGCATTTTGTAGTTTGGAACTTTGATCTGAATTAAAAGTTATATGCTGTACATTCTTAATAATTGCAAAACTTGAGTTTTAAAAATAAAATTTTAAACACTGCAACTTCTGAAAAGAATTTCAAGACTTAAGATTCCTTTCTTTTGGCTTGAGATGGATTAATATAGAAAAAGTCTACAAAATATCTTGTGTTTAAGATGCTTGTTCAGCTGTTGTGCCATGTCATAAATCAGCAATTTATACTTCCAAAATATTGAAACAGGATACCAGAAATACACAAGTTTAAATCCATTTGCATTCATTTTCAGGATGAGAGTGCTAGTGGCAAAGCCAGTATTTATTGTTCAAGTCTAACTGACATTGAGACGGTATTGGTGAGTTGCTTCTCTGAGCTGCTGTAGTTGTGTGCAAGTACTTGTGCTGTTCGGGAGGGAATTTCAGCATCTTGGGATTGCGACCAAGTTGGTCCACCAGCAGAGAATAAACTCACTTGCAATTTCCCAACACAGTTTACATAACTACATTCATACTGATGATGACTCAGAACCTGTAAAAGGTGTGGAGCAGGGAAATATAAGCCCAGCACTATTATCCTGTGAGCACAAAATACCACGGCATGGCACACATTCTTGGATAAAGTATTTAGCGTTTCAGGCAAAATTCCTCTTCACAACTGAAATAGGGCTTGTACCTTGTATCATTTGACTGCACGATAGCTATCATTTGGTTAAGGACTCACTCCAATATAACAGCACAGATAATACTTCATTCCACCTGTTGTCACTGAAATGGATTGTATACCCTCAGAAGATACCTCTTTTTGCTGATCGGATACAGTTAGGCTTTAACTGGGGTCTGATACACAGCTAACCTGAATTTAGAGTGGATATCCGAAGTCATAAGAAACATAGGCTGCTTTATACTGGCTCTGCAACATATCCTACCCTAGCAACACAAAATAAAGATTAATAAAACATTGGAATTGAGGTTTCAAGATTGTGGTCTCCCTGCACAATAGAATTGAGATTAACAATTTACAAGATTTTTTTTTAATAAGTTGGACAAAAAGTTGTTTCATTGCCAGTGTATGAACTAATTGCCCTTCAACAGTTAATTAAGGACAACATGTTACTTAAACTCTGCCTCAACCACAGAACTGTGATCACTGCATTGAAGCAATGGACCAAAGCAGCAATATCCATTATGTGCAGTTATATTGGACAAAATGGTAACTGTTTTTCTCTCTGGGCTGCCAGCCCAGTCAAGCTCTACAGCAGTTTGTTTTTATTAGATCTCCAGAATCTGCGGTACTTCGTTTTTATTCTAGCACTTAGTGTGTTTTGTAAACTAGACCTTCAAAACACGTGAACCTTAAGCTTCAAGTCCCCAACAACTAACTTTGCATCTGAAGCAGTCGAAATGAAGTCAGATGCAAAGAACAATAAGCCTGAATACTCAGCCACAGTGCCATATTCGTAAATTGTCTTTCTGACATTCATTACCAGAACATCCAATACTTACAGTTTCTCCAGCAGTTTCAACTTGCTCTGTACTTGAGAAGCTCTGTTGGCATTGTATCGGAATCTGTCTATGAACACCTAACAGGTTCAAAAAGATTAGACAATTAAAACAAAACGAACTCCTTGATTTCACAAATATTCAGGCTCTCAACACAGTAACAGGAATGCTTTGGAGCTCCGAGAGTTTACTCCACCATTCATATAGGGCGGCATGGTGGCTCAGTGGTTAGTACTGCTGCCTCACAGCATTAGGGATCTGGGTTCAACTCCACCCTTTGATGACCGTATGGAGTTTGCATGTTCTCCCTGTGTCCGCATGGGTTTCCACTGGGTGCTCTGGTTTCCTTCCACAGTCCAAAGATGTGCAAGTTAGGTGGATTGGCCATGCTAAATAACCAAGAGTGTTCAGGGATGTGTACGTTAGGTGCGTTAGTCATGGGAAATGCAGGGTTACAGGCTAAGAGTAGGGGGAGGGGTCTGGGTGGGATGCTCTTCGGAAGGTTGGTACAGACTTGTTGGGCCGAATGGCCTGTTTCCACACTGGGGATTCTATTCTATTCTATAGCTGATCTATACCTCAGTCCACAAATCCAACTTTCCCCCCCATACCCATTGATACTCTTTCTCCTCAAAATTTTCAATCGAGGCAGCCCCACCCAATCAGCAAGTGTCAAAAGGGAGGATTCCAGATTCCCAACACCATTTGTTGGAAAGGTACTTCATGAATGATTAACTAAGAATTGTGCTTTCTTTTTATATTAGATTCACCAGCAGAGGGAATCATTTCTCTGTATCTAAACACAATCATTTTATTACTGAAAAGTGTCATGACAGACTTCTACCCAACAGTACTGTATCCCCAGAGCTACTAAGGACAGACTTGTCTTCAGCAGTCGTGCAACCCAGTGTTAAATAGCAACAGACCCATTCTCACCAGTACCGTACCCCAGTGTTATACAATGACAGTCTGTCCCCAGCAGTACTGAGCCTTGGTTTTATATAGTGACAGACCTGTACCCACCAGTACTGCATCCCTGCATTACTTAGGTTTTACACAACAGTTAGATTTCAAATTATGAAGATCAGTAATACTTTTTACATTGGCCCCAAGAGTAAATATTAGATCCTCACGGCATAGGAAAACTAATGAAAGTCCTACATCAGCTTGACACAATTTACTGTACTGCTCCCAGCAAATCCCACCATCCAGTGCTGCAATTAAATGGTCTGTAAGATTGCTGAGGCAGTGTTTAAAACATATTAGAATCATACAAGGATAACGATGAAATGGAAATAAATCAGAATGTGAAAGTACTGCTCAGCAAATCACCCGTTACTTTTTTTGTTCCATCTCAACCAAAAGTTTTGACTGGATTACAATCCAACAAGTGCTTTCTGTTATGTTGAATTCACCATCAACAGTCACCAAGCTATTCAGGAATGGAGTGCAAGTCGGAGGTGCAAGAGAAAAAACAAGGAGAAGGGTGATTGGCATTACAGGTGGGAGATCTGATCCTGTCATCCAGGCTTCAAACCTTTTAGCTACTTTTCTGTGGCAGTGATCAGAGCTGACCATTCTATTCCCTCTTGAACAGGGCAAAAGGCAGTGTGGCCGATTTAACATCCCAATTGTTTATGTAAAGTAAGATTGGCCAGTACAAACAGAAACTGAGGGATTAACCTGGGCCTTTTAGTATGTACAAGCCAGCACCACACTGGAATACTCAAATACTACTCCGCCCAAGGGAGATATTTTTTAAGAAAAAAAATTACAGCAAGATGACATCGCTCCACACAATGGTCTTGAACTACTTGCACATGCACCACTGCAGGTTAAGATGACATCCATGCTCCAATGTCAATAGTTACTTTCAATCATGCACACCACCACCGACCCCCACAATATGCACCTCACGTACAACATGTTTTAAGAACCTCAAATGAGGAAATATCTCAACTTTTAAGTTGTGTTGAACTAAAGTAACAAAGATATTCACAAGTTAGAAAACAGAACCACCTCAGTTGAAAAAGTAATTTGCTTTACAAGATACACAATCTTAAAAACATGTGACTTACTGAAACAAAAAGATTTTGAGGAGACTTGACAGCATAGACACGAAGCGGTTGTGTCTCCTTCTAGGAGTGTCTTGGACTAGAGGCCTTAATCTCCGAGTAAGGGCACACTCATTTAAGACACAGATGATGTGATAGCACTGGACGGTGTGCAGAGGAGATCTATCAGAATGGTGCCTGGGGGGTGTGGGGGGAGGGAACGGGGGGGGTGGTGGTGGAAAAGAGGAGGGTGCGGAGTGTGGGATGGTGGGGAAAGAGTTACAATTATCAAGAGAGATTGGATAGACTAGAGTGCTGTTCCTTACAGCACAGGAGACTGGGAAGGGACATGATTGAGATATATAAAATTGAGGGGCATGAACAGGGTACACAAGAAACTTCTGCCCTTGATGGATCAATAATCAAAGGGCATAGACGAAGAGTCAGGAAGTTTAGAGGGGTGTGAAGAAAAAGCTTTTCACCTAGAGGGTGTTAGGAAACTGGAACTCATTCTTTGTAAGGGTGGAAGCAGAAACCTTCAATATTTAAGAAGCATTTAGATGCACACTTGCAATGTCAAGGCGCACAAGATTATGGGCCACGTGATGGAAAATGGGACCGGATAGTTAGGTAGTTGTTTCTGACCAGCACAGACTTGATAGATTGAAGAGCCTTTTCTGTGGTGTAGATAGAGTCATGCAGTCATACAGCATGGAAACAGACCCTTCAGTCCAACTAGTCCATGCTGAACAGAATCCCAAACTAAACTAGTCCCACCTGCCTGGTCTTGGCCCATAGCCCTCCAAACCTTTCCTATTCATATAAATGTCTTTTAACCATTCGAATTGTACCCACATCCACCAAATCATCAGGAAGTTCATTCCACACGCGAACCACCCTCTACGTTAAAACCTTGCCTCAGTTTTTTTTAAAAATCGCTCTCCTCTCACCTTAAGATGTGCCGCCTACTCTCGAAATTCCCTATCCTAGGGAAAAGACAACCACCATCAATTCTATCTATATCTCTCATTTTATAAACTTCTATCAGGTCACCTCTCAACCTATGTTCCAGTGAAAAAAGTCCCAGCCTATCCTTACAACTCAAACCTTCCATTCCCAACAACGTGCTGGTAAATGTCTTCTGAACCTTCTCCAGCTTGATAGTATCCTTCCTATAACTGGGCAACCAGAACTGGACACATTATTCCAGAAGAGGACTCACTAAGGTCCGTAACATAACATCCCAACTCCTATACTCAAAGTACTGAGCAATGAAGGTAAGCAACTAAATGCCTTTTTAATCATGTCTATGTGAGATACAAACTTTAAAGAATTATGTATCTGTACCCCTAGGTCCATCTGTTCTACAACACTACCCAAGGCCGTACCATTAATTGTATAAGCTCCACCCTTGTTTGTTGTACCAAAATGCAATACCACTTATTTATCCAGATTGAACTCCATCTGCCACTCTTCAGCCCATTGACCCATTTGATCAAGATCCCTTTCTAATCTTAGAAAGCCTTCTTCACTGTCTACAATTTTGGTGTCATCTGCAAACTTACTAACCACACCTTCTATATTCTCATCCAAATCATTTATATAAATGACAAAAGAGGACCCAGAACCAATCCCTCTGGAACACAGCTGGTCACAGGCCTCCAGTCCAAATAGCAACCCTCCATGATGCTGCTTGGCCTGCTGTGTTCATCCTGCCCTGCAGCTTGTTGTCCCTCCATCATTACTGACTCTTGCCGTTAAGCCAATTACATATCCAATTGGCAAGCTCACCCTACATCCCATGTGACCTGACTTTACTAACTCGTCTACCGTGCAGAACCTTGTCAATGGCTTTACTAAAATCCAAACAAATGTCTACTGCTCTGCCATCGACCTTTTTGGTAACTTCCTCAAAAAACTCAATCATGTTTGAGATACATGATTTTCCTCGCACAAAAGCATGCCGGCTATCCCTAATCAATTTTTGCCTTTCTAAATGTCCACAAATCCCATCTTTTATAATCACCTCCAACAATTTACCCACAAAGTTGGACTCTCAGGCCTATAGTTCCCCAGTTTCTCCTTACAACCTTTCTTAAACAAAGGTACAACATTAGCCACCCTCCAGTCATCAGGCACCTCACTCGTAGTTATAGTTGATGTAAGTATTTCTGCAAGGGGTCTCAATTTTCTCCCTTACTTCCCACAACATTCTAAGATACATTAGATTTGGGCCCAGACACTTAACCACCTTGATATTCTCAAAGATCTTCCAAACTTCCTCTTCTGCAACGTGAACTGTTTTAAAAACATAGTTTATTTCTCTGCATTTTCTACACTCCATTTCTTTCTCCACGGTAAAAATTGACACGAAATATTCATTTACTATCTCTCCCATCTCCTGGCGTTCAACACAAAGATGACCTCCTTGACCTTTAAGAGGCCCAACCCTCTCTCTAGTTACCCTCTTGCTCTTAACATATTTGTAGAATCTCTTTGGATTATCCTTATCTGCCAATGCTATCTCATATCCCCTCTTTGCCTTCCTGATTTCTCTCAAGAATGCTCCAAGCCTTACCCTTTACTCCAACAGGAACAAAATGCCTCTGAACTCGTGATCGCACCCTTGAACACCTCCCACTTGTCAGACGTCCTTTTACCTGCAAGCAGTCTACCTACTCCACAATCCAGGAGGAATTTCTCCTCTCACAAAGGGTAGTGAATCTGTGGAATTCTTTACCACAGAGAATTGTCAAGACTGGATCATTAAGAATATGAGAGACTGAGATATATAGATTTTTAATGAGAAGGAAATAGTAGTAGTAATTTATTTCTCACATGTACGAAGTATAGGAATACAGAAGTGTAGCAAAAAGTACATAAAGTCACCATTCACTGCTGCCCACTTGGTTACCTAGTAAAAGGAATCATGGAGTATGGGGAAGAGGCAGGACAGGGGAGTTGAGGATTCAGATCAGTCATGGTCTTATCCAATAGCACAGCAGACTTGATGGGCTGAATGGCTTCCTTCTGCTTCCAAGTTTTATGGTCTTGACGAGTTTATGCAGACCCTAGGCATGTCTCAGAGCATAAATCTCAAGGAAACTCAAAGCCAGATGCCCTGATTCTTTGCCAGCTATGGTGAATATGTACCTGTATGTGCTCTCTGTACTGCTGCTGAGCTTCGTACTCGCGCTGCTGATTTTTCAATCTTTCCTCTTTGGTCTTTACAAAGTTTTCATAGTCACCCCGGTAGGTTTCCAGGCGCTGAGAGTGCAAATGAACAATGTCGGTCGCCACGGCATTTAGGAAGTTGCGATCATGCGACACCACCAAGATAGTGGATTGCCAGGTCTAAACAAAGAACACAAGTTTCAGCAGATAAGTCATTTTGCACCCAATACACCAGCGACTTTTGCCTTAAACAGACACTCTGTTGCACGGCAAGAGCCAATTCAGCCAAAGAATTTCAATGAATAAGGTCTCTTAGAATGAAGTGTTTTGAGGTTCTCAAAGCAGTTACATCATGGAAGGAGTCTAGTTAGGAGTTGTATCCATGCAGGATCTCTGAAAGAGCAGATCAGTTAGTTCCATTCCTCAACTCTGTAAATTTTCTCCTAAAGGTGCTTAACAAATTGCCATGGGATACAGACATTGGTGACATTGCCAAACCCTAATTGCCCAGGGTACAGTTAAAAGCCAACAACATTGCTCTGGATCTGGAGTCACATGGCTAAATATGGATCGATCATAGTTTTATGGCCATGATTAGGCTTTTAACTCCAGTTCTTCTTTAAAAAAAATTAAGTTTCATCACTTTCCATAGTGAGATTTGAACCCAAGTCTCCAGAACATTACCTGGGTCACTGGCCCAATGGCAATAACATTATGCCATCCCCTCTCCTGGAACCTGCCTCCACCGTACTTTATAGCAATACATTCTAGATCCCAGCCACTTATGTTTTTTCTCTAGTTACTGTTAGTTATCACACTTAGTTCTTGTGCATTCACTTTTATGGCAGTGTCCTATGGTTTTTGGTCCTTCTCATCAATGGAAGCAGTTTCCCCCCTATTGACTCCATCTGGACTCACTCCTATTTTAACACCTTCTCTACTGCGTGCTTGATTATCAACTGCATTCTAAAATCACCTAACAAGTCCATTTTCAGTACACAAGATTTTCTCATGTCATTTCAGGGAAATAATGTGAATCTGTTTCTCTATGCAAAGAAAGGGGTTGAGCAAGGGTGATCAACTCAATCAAAAATGACATCTCCCTATATTACAATAACAACAACTTCAAAAGTACTTCATTGGCAAGAAAACACAGACATACCAAAATCATGAAAGGCAGTATATAAATGGAAGCCTTATTTTTTTCAATTCCTTCATTATTGATGGTCATTCCTAAGACAGACACTTACACACTTGCTGTGTTTTATTATTGAACAATGCAATTCATGATGTGATGATCAAATTTATTTAGTTTTTATTGAGGCCTTTAAGCTCCAAGATAAAACATCCTGCAATCCTATTAATGTATGAGCACCAAACAACTCAACACAGCAATTTATTTTACTTACACGCAGGTAGTGCTATTGTTTGAACGTGTGTCTAACAGCTATGAGCAGCATATCAGAGACGTGCCGCAAAATGCTTAACATTACAATCCTAGCCTATTTCATTCAAATTCACTGCTTCTATTAATGTCAGCTTTGCATATTCAGCACATAATTGTGTAGACTGGGTTCAAAGTCTCTCACTTCCCCCCACAGTCAAATTGCCTAATGTATTATTCTCCAGCAACAAGCATATTTGTCTTCAAGAGATTTTGCTTGTCAGATAATAAAATGAGTTTTCTATCTAAATGATGTAAACACAATAAAAGGCCCGGACAAAGCTCTTGCACTTTGTGATTATAACATTTCATTCTTCTTCCCATCATAACCCATTGTCTGATTGTGTCTCTTGCTGTCTATTTAAGCCCCTTTCTGAGAGACAATAGCGCAGTTCTGCATTTTAGGAATGTCGGCCTTTGAATGAGACAAGAAAGCAAGGCCCCATCTGCCTGTTCCAGCAGAGAATTAAGGCCAGACATACTCAATTATTAATAAATTATGTTCCTTTAACAAAAACCAAAAATAATTGCCATTCTTCACATAGCTCATTTTATGCAAAATGACTGCTTCATTTGTCTACTACAAATATACTTCAAAGCAATTGAATGTGCCCATAAAGCTCTTCAAGTGCTTCAGGTTACTCAAGTGCAATATAAATGCTAGTTTTACTTTTGAACAAGTACACACTTGCCCTAAAATAATCTTCCATATCGCACTTTTAAGATGGGAAAACATTCATGCAGGCACGAGACCTTTCTGGTCCCATAGCTGATACTGTTAACAGACATCTTTCCTCAGATACTGCCTACCATCGTTCAAGACGGTTTTTCCTTAGCCATCTCAATCTTTTGCAATCCAGAGCCACATTTCCAACCTTAACTTGCACTCCAAAATTCTTCAGAATGTTCCAACTCCATGTTTCTTGTTTCCAGTAACTTTGGTTGAATTCCTACATGTAGGTTTACACTCCAGCAACCATTTTAGATCAGCTCTAATCCAAGTCAAAAAGGATATACCTCCTCACCCTTCTCATCTGCAGTTTTACCATAAGAGACCACAATATTCTTTTCCAATGCCATCTATCAACATCCAGTAGACTAAGATTGCCCTCATCTGAATCTACTCTTACGTACTGACTCTGAGCCAAAGAATCATCGCCAACAGCTTCTCTTTTCACTTCTACCATTACCATTGGCATTCAACAAGTCTCAATCCTCGGTTCCTTTCTTTTTCTAATTCACGTGTTGCCCTTTATCAAAATCATTTAAAATAGTTACTTTTCAACTGGATACTGATAACATCTGGCTCTACTTCACTATCACCTCCCTCTTGATCATCAACCCTCACCATCACCTGCCAAATATGTACCTGGTATGAAATGAGATCTTTCTTTCAGCAATATTTTGAGAAGGCAAAAGCCAATGTCCTTGGCATATGTCACACATGCTGTCCTCAATTGCAGGCTGAACTAAATCATTCACTACTTCGGTGTCAATATTTCCAACCACCATATTCACATTGTTACTGATTTTGCCTACTTGTATCAGTGACTTCACTCAACTTTGCCTCTGTTCAGCTCATCTGCTGCTGAAACCTCTAACTCCACTTTTGTTACCTTTGCACTCTCTTCAACATTCCTGGCTGGCCTTACACATTCTATCTGCAATGTGTGCAGATTGCAGTGTTGGCCACCCTCTTTTACCACAGTGGAACCTTCACCATCTGTCCACGTCATATTAAGATCCTTCAGAGTTTTCACCAGTAGTACCCATAATACCTGAAGATCAATGGGAGGACTATTTGACATATGTGGCATTCTCCACGAAGCTGAGTCTGATGGCATCGAAGCCCTATGCCTGAAGAACAATTTCAAGTGAACAGACCATTGCATTTGGATGCATCTGTTGGCAGTTTCTTGTCATTCAGATTTCTGTTCACCACACTCAAAAGGGCAGCCAAATGAAAAGGTATACTTATATGTTCAAGATTGCCCTAAAACATGGAAGCCACTGACTGGAAGGAGAAAGCCACTGAATGCCCAACATGGCTCCACATAAATCATCATAGTGTCAACCACAGCAACTTGACCGTGAGAATGAACTGCAGCAGCACAGGAAAGAAAAAGTAACCAACTCAGGACTGCGAATTCTTTTTCGCCACACAACAACTGCAGTGAAACTTGTGAATCTAAAATTGTGATCCCTTAGTCATCTGATGATTTATCACACCCAACAGAAGTCATCAACTGATTCTGAGCAACTGCTGATTACCCTGTGCAAATTTAACATGGAGGTGAGGAAGAGCAGTGAGGGTGAGGTGGCCACAATACATTTTAGAAACTGTAAAGAAATTCAACAGCACAACACAAATGCACCAATTCTCAGTGAGAAATAATTAAATGTTTTACTTTTGAGAGTGTGTACTGAAGGGAACATAATGCATAATCAGATAGCGTTCTATCCTGGAACCAATCAAGGACTCACCTGTAGGTAGTTTTCCAACCATAGGATGGCTCGCACATCCAACATGTTTGTAGGTTCTAACAACAAGAAATTATTTAGATGAACTTTATTGGTTTCATTGAAAGATTTCACAAACAAATCAAATTTAACAGTATTTGAATAAGCTTGCATGTTGCAGTCAAACAATAGCTCTTTTTATCAATTAGAGAACTCACTTATTCATTCTTCACGTATTCTAAGAGAGGACTGTACAAAGATTTAACACAAGATTTTTCAAGAATCTCCCCTGCAGACAAGGCTGTATTCACTGGCCTTTTCCAGAGAAATTCTTCACTGCACAATCCTCTTGGATTTGGGGTAAAGTGTGGAAGACCCGGCCCCTCAACAGTATAAGGTGTGCATGAGGACTACAGGTGCAAGTGTTCTACCATTACAGCAATGCAAGCCAATGTACCATCAAATGTATGACGGTACTTACAGAAAAACAACTAAGATTTTAAGGCAATTCTACTCCAAGTACTAGTCGGATAGTACACGCAGCACTAATTAGAGTAAGTGCCCTTCAACCCAATTCATTAAATGTCAAGAGTTCTGCAGCACTAAAATGATGCAATAAGGTGCTATATGAATATCAGTGTGATTAACTTACCATCTAGTAACAAAAGATCCGGCCTGAGAAAGAGAGAAAATGTAAAAACACACAATCATTTGTCAATTATCTAAATTGAGATCAAACTGCTCACTCCAGTTCTAAATGGGCCCGAATTTGAAGCCTGATCTCAACCTGACGACAAGCAGAGTTGCTATGGCTTGCCTGGCTGACCAAGCTCTAAGATTCAGCAGTTTTAGAAGAGCAGTTATCAGCAAAAACCTAAAAACAACAAAAAGGCAGAGCAAGTTGAGGTATCAAGTGCACTATTAAATTATAGGAAAGAGTTTATTCCTTGATGCTGTATGGTAGCACCAAGCATAAATGTCTTTCTATGAACAGACTGTTAAACAGCTGGTTCACTTCATAATAATTAATTCAGCACTACTCTCCTTGCTATTACATTTTTTCCTGCATAATTGTAGTCAACAGGAGGTTTTATAGTGTGGGTCCAATAGCATGGGTCCATTGGGTGCAGCTCCAGGAAAGTGGAGTCACATCAAAGCCAAATCAGAAGGATGGCAGGATTCATTTCCTAAAGGACACTATTGAACCAGCTGGGTTATCAGACCATTCCAATGACTTCAGAGTCAATTTTACTGATACCAGCCTTTTATTGTAGCTTTACGCAGGTTTTTACTTCTATGAACAATTCAAATTCACAGTCCACAGTCCACCATGCTGGACTTTTCTAGATTAAGCCCAGTCACACAACACCTATACTATTGGAACCTTGTACATGAGGGATCTTGGCAGAGTTTAGCTAGTACTTTGTACAACTGAAAACAGAAAATTTGCAACATGAGAAGAAGCCATTCATCCCAGTTTAATTTCATCTTCCTGTAACTGACCTGTATTCTGAGTTATGGCATCAATTGCATATCCTATTATCTTTGAAATGTGATGAGGGTTTCTGGCGTGTGTTATGACATTTTCAGGTCGTGAGTTCCAGACCCCCTATCACACTTTGCAGAAAAGTATTCTCAATTCCTTTAAATCTAATGTTCTTACTTATCTGTGCAAAGGTAAATACATCCTTCACCTCAATTTTACATATTTCAACTGAATCCACATCAGCCTTGTCTGTTCAACATGTAAAAACAAAATCCAGCCAGCCCAATCTTTCCTCAAAGTAACAAACGAAATGTTCTCTCTGCTGAAACTGCATACTTGGTGAAATAGGAGTAGAACTGTATCACTACTTGAGCTATAAGGAACTCAATCCAAGGGCTTACTCTTGATTCCAAGGTTATAGAGCATTACCATGACCTTTATTTTTTTGCTCCCTGATATGTAGCAAATTTTCGATCTAACTTGTTATTTTCCCTCTGATCCTATCAGCGGTAACTTTGCAGACCAGTCTGGAACACAGGACATCAAAAGCCTTGATAAAATCTTTGAAGATTACATCAAAAGCACATTCACCTTCCGTGTTACTATATCGAACAAACTCCACTGTGAAACACAACTTAATCAGAGACTTATAAACGATGATGAATACACAGTCTCTCAATGCTTCCTGATTACCCCACTAGGTGATGCTGACTAGCTATACTTACAGTTTCTGCCTCTTCCAACGACAGTACATTCATTAGCTATCCTCCAACACCACAAGAAATCCAGAAAGAATCAGAAAAATGATGATTAAAGCCTCCACTGTCTCCTTACTTTGTTGTAGCGTCTTGGGACTCATCATCTAGGTCTTGAATTTATTCACTTTCAGGGATGCTTGACCCTTTCATATTTTCTCCCTCAGTAAGTTTATCCCACCCAATATAGGGAGAGTAAAACTGGTCCCCATGTTTCCTGAAACTTGCACGTTAGGTCATTAAGACAAGAGGGGAACTTCCCAGCTTTACTAATCACATTTTGTTTGAGGATGTGGAGGAAAGGAATACCTAAGCAAGCAAAAAGATTGCAGCAATGATGCCGGGTAGGACTGAGAGGGCTTCTTCTGCCTACCAAATGACACATTTGGCGAAGGGTAAATAAGATTGGGGAAATGAATGCATGGCTTGAAGGTTGGTATGAAAGAAATGGGATTTGATTCATGGGATACTGATGCCAGTACTGGGGAAAATGGGAGCTGCACCACTGGGATAACAGTTCTTGCAGGTCATTTAGCTTGGGTGCTAGGGGGGGCTTTACGCTAAATAACAGGGCTGGGGAGTGGGGAGGAGGCATCGGGTGAGAGAAAATGTACAAAAATTAAAGGCAAACATTGAAGTAATAGGAAACGAGAGATATGGAAAAGGTTAATCAGAGTATGGCAGCAGCTCACGATCAGCTTCTCAAAGACAGCTTGGGATGGGTAATTAATGCTGGCTCAGCCAGCAACACATCCCATGAGTGATTTAAATAGAAATTAGGAGTGCACAAACAGATATGGCCACGAGTTACAAAAAAAACAAACAGCAAACTTTAAAGGCTCTGTATCTGAATGCACTCAGCACTTTTAACAAAGTGAACGAGTTGTTAGTACACGTGGAAATGAATATAGAGACACGTGGAGGACGACTATGCTGGCACCTGAATACTGATGTTATCTGACATTTCAAAAACACAAAGCTAAAAGAATTGTGGGGAAGCTCTGTTAATCTAAGCCATTGAGTCAGAGAGTGAGAGAGAGAGAGAGTCAGAGAGAGAGAGAGAGAGTCAGAGAGAGAGAGAGAGAGAGTCAGAGAGAGAGAGAGAGAGTCAGAGAGAGAGTCAGAGGAACTGAAAGAACTGTGCATGCTGTAAATCAGGAACAAAAACCGAAGTTGCTGGAAAAGCTCAGCAGGTCTGGCGGCATCCAAGGAGAAAGTATCAGAGATAATGTTTCGGGTCCGGTGACCCTTCCTCTCACCTTAAACTAGGCCTTGTAGTTTTGGACTTCACGCCCATTGTCTATGCCCCTCATCATTTTATAAGCCTCTGTAAGGCCACCCCCTCAGCCTCCTAAGCTCCAGGGGAAAAACCCCCCAGCCTATCCTTATAACTCCAACCTTCCATGCGTTCTCGTTCAACATCCTTGTAAGTCTTTCTGGCACCTTTTCCAGTTTAATAACATCCTTCCGATTGCAGGGCCACCAGAATTGTACGCTGTACTCTAAAGATGGCCTTACCAATGCCTTGCACAGCTGTAACATGATGTCCCAAATCTTGTACTCAATGCTCTGACCAATGAAGGCAAATATGCCAAATGACTTCTTCACCACCCTTGTCTAACTGTTTGGTAGATTCTATTTTGAAAGAACCACGTAAATGCACCCCTGGGTCTCTCTGTTCAACAACACTCTCCAGGGTCCTACCATTAACTGTGCAAGTCCTCCCCGGTTTGTCTTTTACCAAAATCCAACACCTTGCACTTAGCTGAATTAAATTCCATTCTGCCATTCCTCGGCCCAGTTGATCAAAATCCCATTGTATTCTCACATAACCTCCTTCACTGTCCACTTTACCACCAATTTTTGTGTCATCCGCAAACTTACAAACCATGCCTCCTATATTTTCATATAAATCGTTTATATAAATCACAAGCAATAGTGGACCCAGCACTGATTCTTGTGGCACACCACTGGTCACAGCCCTCCAATCTGAACAACAACCCTCTACCACCACCTTCTGTCCCCTACCATCAAGCCAATTTTGTATCCAGTTGGCTAACTCTCCCTGGATCCCATGTGATCTAACCTTACTAACAAATCTACCATGCGGAACCACAACCACAGAATTGCTAAAGTCAATGTAGGCAATGTCTACCACTCTGCAGTCATCTATCTTCTTGGTCACCTCTTCAAAAATTGATTAAATTTGAGACACGGGTTTCCCATGCACAAAGCCATGCTGACTATCTCTAGTCAGTCACTGCCTTTCTAAATGCATGTAGCTCCCGTATTTCAGATCCCCTCCAACAACTTACCCACATTAGCCACCCTCCAGGCTTCTGGCACCTCATCCATGGCTTTCAATTAAAAAAACATAACTCTGCTGGGGGTCCTGCAATTTCTTCCCTAGCTTCCCACAATGCCCTGGGCTACACTTTACCAGGTCCTAGGGATTTATCTACCTTTATGAACTTCAGAACCTCCTCTTCTGTAATGTGGACTCTTTTCAAAACATCACTATTTATTTCCAAGTTCCCTAGCTTCCATGTTTTTCTCCACGGTAAAGTAGTGAGAAATGAATTTCACTCAAAGGACCAAAATGTAGAGTAGGCTCAAGTAGAAGAAAGAAATAAAAATGTTTGTGGGAATTGTTTATAGGTCCCCTAACAGTAGTTACACAGGATGAAGTATATAGGAATAAATAAATGGGATGTGTTCCAAAGGTATTGCAATAATTATGGGTAACTTCAATTTACATTTACATGTCCAGAAACAGTCTACAATTTCTTCAGGCAGTACATTCTTAAGCCAACCAGGAAGAAGGCTATTTGAAATGAAGTAATCTGCAATGAGATTGGATTAATAATCTTGTGGCACAGGAGCTTGTATATGATAATATGATGGAATTTCATGTTTAGTATGAAGGGGAGAAATATGGGCCAATGACTCATTTTTAACCTAAACAAGGAGGTAACCACAAAGCATGAAGGTCACACTGCCCAAAATAAAATGGAAAATGAGATTAAAAGTTAGGTGTTGCAATGGAAGACTTTCAAATACATTTTCCTAACTCAGTAAAGATTCAGCCTAGTGGAAAATAAAAACTGAGAAACACTTATCACTCTGTGAAAATGAAAGCATAGCATCAAATTGAAAGGAGTACTTCACAATTTTGTGAAGGTTAGTGGTAGTTCAGAAGATTGGATTGATTTTAAGAAATACCAATGAATAACTAAAATAAGAGAGAGAAGAGCATGACAGAAAGACAGCTGGCGACAGCAACATGATAGTAAGAATATATTATAAAAGAAGAGCACCAAAAACTAGTGTTGGTCTTCTTGAGAGAGGATAAGTCTGGGGAATGATAATAAAAAATAAGGAAATTGTAGAGGAATTGAACAGTATTTTCTATCTGCCTGAGACTTGCAAAATCTTTTCAAAAGCGCTTGGAAGTCAAGTGGTGAAAGTTAAGGGCGTATTTAAAACAATGATCATCAAGGGAAAAAGTGCTGAGGAAACTATGATACCAAAAATCTAACAAGTCCTCAAGACCAGAGGGTCTGCAGCCAAGAGTCTTAAAAGAAGTGGCTGCAGACATTTTAAGACGCATGAAATAGTTCCAAAATTACTTAGCTCCTAAAAGGATTTAAGTGGATTGAAAAATAGCTGTTTAACCTTTATTCAAAAATGAGGGCCACAGAAAGCAGAAAGCTGGAAACCAGTTATTCTTATATCTGTCACAGGGAAGTAATAAGAATCCACTGTTAAAGGTATAGCAGGATATTCTGAACATCACAATGTGATTGGACAGCATCAACATGGTTTTTGAACTAATCTTCTTTGAGATTTTGAGGACAAGCAAGGTGGACTTCAATTTCTAAAGACATTTAAAAAGCCATGTCAAAGATTACTTAGACAAGACATGAGCACATGGCGTAGGAAATAACAAATCAGGATGGATAAAAAATTAGTTAAATAATAGGAAGCCAAACAGTAAGAACAAATAGGTCTTTCCTGGCTTAGCAAACTTCAATTTGCCTCAATTATTTATAGCCAGTATTAGTGACTTGTAAAGACATGTAGGCAGGCTACTGAGTGGGTGAAAAGTTAGCAGCAGATGTAGTACAATTTGGGAAAATGTGGACTTGGCCACTTTGGCAGGAAGAACAAGAGCGGTGTACTATTTTAATGGCTTGAGTTTGTTGAACTGACAAACTGCAGAACTAAGACAGAGAGGTATTGGTGCCCGAGTACATGAATCACAAAGTTGGCGTGCAGCTTCAGCAAGTGACTAAGAAGGCAAATGGAATATTGGTGTTTATTGCAAGGAGAATGGAAGACAAAAGTAGGCTGTTTTACAGCATTTTGTAGAACACAGGAACTGTGTGCATGAGGAGGCCTTTAGCATTTCAAAAAACAAAATCCAGGTGCAGGGGGAGGCCCTTTGAGCCTAGTCTGGCATTCAACATGATCATGGCTGATTCTCTATTTCAACACCACGTTCCTGCTTTCAACACGTACTCCTAAATTCCCTGTGTTTCAGGGTAGGCTAATCGATTTCTCCGGACAAATCCACTATTTTCTACTCCAACTATTTGGACAGGCTTCCAACTCCTGACGACCTGGAGCCTGTTCCTCCACTGAATTCAGATCAAGCCTCACCTGTACCTGAACTCTGTTCAGTTGCCTTTCTTTAATAGCCCTATTTCAGCTTGACATATACCAACCAGCTAGCTTCTGGCTAGAAAGCAAACACAAATTGGGGACCAGAGTGAATCAGCAACTTACTTGGCAAACAGTGCCCTGGCCAAAGCCAACCTCATCCTCCAGCCTCCAGAGAACTCCCTGAAACATAAACACCAATTCAGTACCAAAATTTGAAAATAAAACTTTTTGAAATTTTAGCATGATTAAAAAGGAGAGCTGTACAAGTTAAATGGAACATACGGAATGTTCGTAGGATCCCGTGGGTAGATCATGGATTAATGTACTAATAAGTATTTTACTGATTCATTTGCTGATGCAATGCTTTTTAAAAAAAAAAGTATTCATCCCAAGATATGTCACTGGCTGGGCCAACATTTGTTGCTCATCCCAAAATCATCCTCAAATTGGCAAAGATGAGCTGTTGCATTTCGTGTGATATAGGGACATCCATACCGCTGTTAGGAAATGAGTTCCAGGGTTTTGAGCGAGCAACAGTGAAGCAATAGCAATACAGTTCTAAACTAGGAAGGTGCATGGCTTTGAGGGAACCTTACACATGGTGGTGACTCTGTGCATCTGATGGCCTTGTCCTCCTCCGTGGGAAAGATCACAAACTTGGAAAGTAATGTCGGTGAACCTTGAGAGTTGCTGCACTGCATCTTGACACACTCTGCTGTCACTGTGCTTTGCTGATGGAGACTGAATGTTTAAGGCAGTGGACAGGTTACTAATCAAGCAAATTCATTTGACCTGGATGGTTTTGAGGTTCTTGAGTTCTGCTGGAGCTGCACCAATCCAGACAAGTGGCCTGTATTCCATTACATTTCTAAATGGTGCCTTGCAGATGGTAGACAGGCTTTGGTCAGTCAGGAGGGGAGTTGTTCGCCACAGAATTCCTAACTTCTGACCCAATCTTGGAGTCACAGTATTGCCATGGCTGGTCCAGTTCAATGCCTGGTCAACGGTAGTCCTCAGGATTTTTGATAGTGGGGATTGAGCAAACTGTTGAATGTCACAGGAACGTGGTCAAGTTCCCCTGCGTTGGAGATGGTCATTGCTTAACATTTGTGGGCGATGAATGCTAGTTGCCATGTAACAGCCTAAATTTGAATGCTCGTTTGCAAGGATAGACACTGAGTAGATTTCAAAGATTGAGTAATACAAGTAATTTCAGAAATGCAGTTGGCCTAAGGTAAAATATAACTTACACCTCTGAACAGGTCTTATTGCTCAAATAGGATAGCAGTCTCGGAAACATTGAAGATTAATAAGTAACTGCAATTTGAGAGCTACATTGACCTTTTACAGACAATTGCCATGACAGTTAGTCCCCAGGTTGTGAACAGGTCCCATTCTTGACTTGATTTGTATGCAAGTTGTAACACAATACAAGTCAATATAAAACAGCTATCTGCAAGTGCAAAGAAATGCTCACGTTTGGATATTTAAAATATTAATACATCCCTGCACAGGACTGCATTCCTAAGTTGGGCATTTGTACATCAGGGATCGCCCGTAGTTAACAAATGTAACAATGACTGAGTGACTGGAAGTGGACGGAACAAGCTCTATTTAAATTATTTCCAATACTGATTATTTAGCAGTTACATGTGGAGATGTAAGCTAATTTGTAAATGCCTGCAAAGTGCAGACCTGAGGACAGATGAATTTTGTCATGAAGGATTGATGCAAAAATCAATATTACACAAAGCAAGAAGAATTGTGTCTCAAGATGTAGGGATAAAATGAGAAAAGTGCTTCAAATTGTTTAAAATTGCAAGCTGGAATTGTAATGGCCAAATATGAAACACAGTTTGCTAAATTGGGCATTGAGATGAGTAATATGGTAACCAAACTGGACATAGTCACTAGATGGAGGGACAGGAGGAAAATAGAATGCTTCATCAAAATGTTGACTGGAACAAAGTGTACAGGAACTATGCATGCAGAGGACTGAGCGGATCATAGAAGCTTATGGAGAAGAGAGTGATTACATTCATTAGGTCAAATAGTCAAGGAAATTGCCCTGAAAAGGCAAAATAATTTAAGGAAGATAAGTGTTTGAAAATTAGTTGGCAGCACCTTGATTGTGTGGATGGATGCAACTCTAGTACGAACCTAGCACCTACCCTAGCTCAAAAAAAAAGTTCAACAAAATGCAAACAACATGTGTTACTTTCCTGTGACCTAAAAGGCAGTCCGAGTATTTTGGAACTGTAAATCACTACTTGGTCACTGCTGTGTGCCAATAAAAGGCTTGCTGTGATCAATTGGTACTAAATTTGAATCTTGCAATTTTGACACTACATCACATGATTACCCTGGTAGGGTACGTCACTCGTTGAAAAGTACTTTCTGAAATCCTAAGGTAATGAAAGAGGTTACAAAACTACAAGTTGTTCTTTTTACTTTTAAAAAAAAAAATGCTGCATTTTAACTATAATAGAAGCGGTAACATCATAGATTGCAAAAATAATAGTCTAGACATAAACCAGTATTGTTTCTGTGACTGATGTTATACAGCCTTGTAGTGCTTGTTGTTACTGATAATATACTGTTTGCCTGACATTCTACTAATACAAATATTAACTTAGTGGCTTACTGAAACAGGTTTATTTGTACACAGCACCTTACCTGGTCATCTGTTGCTGCATCTTGGAACTGAACCCCAAACCAGCCAGAATAACTGAGGCCCTAAAAATTGAGAAAAAGACTATCAATATGGATATAGATACATATGGTTGGATTGGAATGTTTGGGAGCGAGACACAAGAGGAGTGCACAAAAGAGATGCACATACCTAGTGAATTTTATGGGAAAAGAGAAGGGGAATAAAATGCCCTGTCCATCGTTTGGGCTAATATAATTTTGCAATGCCAATTTTACATACATTACAATCCAAACAGCCAAATTATCTGACACTCAATATTTCCAACATTCTCAATTATATTAAATTATACAACATGCCAATGCTTTGCCCCATGAAACTGGATTGCTCAAGCACTGTACGAGCTTCTCACAGAAAGCCTTATTGAGAACATAAATCTCTTTCAAGTTAGAACTTCAAGTCACATCTGCAATCAGCACCTCTGCTACAGCCCAAATGCCTGGTCTAACCAGGAGTTCCAATAAGGGCCACATGACGACTGCAATTTGGACAGGCTCCCCCACCCGCAACTACCTGGATCCTGGTCCACCACTCAATTCAGATCAAGGCTTACCTGTACCTTAACTCTGTTTAATTGCCTTTCTTTAAAATAGCCCTATTTAAGCTTGATGCACTGCCGCCTCATAACACCACGGGTTCTATTCCAGCTTTTGGTGACTGTCTGTGTGGAGTCTGTGCATTCTCCCAATGTCTGTGTGCATTTCCACCAGGTGATCTGATTTCCTCCCTCAGTCCAAAGACATGCAGGTTGGGTGGATCGGCCAAGGGAAATTATCCCGTAGTGTCCAGGGATGTGCAGGCTCGGTGGATTAGTCATGGTAAATGCAGAATTACAAGGTTCGGATGAGGACCTAGGTTTGGGTGGGATGCTCTTTGCAAAGTCATTACAGATTCGATGGACCAAATGGCCTCTTGTCGCACTGTCCAGTTTCTATGAATAGGCCATTCAACCCCTTGAGCCTGTTTCACCAAACAGATCATTGCTGATCTGTGGTCTAACTCCAACTATCTGCGTATGGCCCATATCTCTTAATAGTTTTGTTTAAAAAAAATTATCACTGGCATTTCTGGGAGAGTTCCAAACATTTACCACCCTTTGCATGTAGAACTGCTTCCTAACATCTTTCCCAAATGGTCTGGTCTTAATTCTCAGACTACTCCCCCTAGTTCTAGAATCCCCAACCAGTGAAAATAATTTACCCACCCTGGCTTTTCCTGTTAATATCTTTAAGACTTTGATCAGATCACCTCTTCATCTTTAAAATAAGAGAAAACAGACCCACTATGTACAATCTTTCATAAATTTTATTCACTCATGGGACGTACGCATCTCTGGCTGGCCAGCAATTATTGCTGGTCCCTGGTTGGCCTTGAGAAGGTGGTGGTGGTGAGCTGCCTTCTGGAACCACTACAGTCCATGTATTGTAGGTTGATGCATAACGACCCAAGGGAGGGAATTCCAGGATTTTGTCTCAGTGACAGTGAAGGAATGCCAATGTATTTCCACATCAAGATGGTGAGTGGCTTGGAGGGGAAAGTGCAGGTGGGGGCGTTCCCATGTATACCGACCTTTTCCTTCTTAGATGGAAGTGGTTGTGGGATTGGAAGGTCCTTTGGTGAATTTCTTCACTACATCTTGTAGATAGCACACAATGCTGCTACTGAGCGACGAAGGTGGAGGAGATGAATGCTTGTGGATGTGGTGGCAATCAAGCAGACCATTTTCTCCAGGATAGTGCCAAGCTTCTGGAGTGTTGTTGAGCTGCACCCATCCAGGCAAATGGAAAGTATTCCATCACACTCCTGACTGGTGCCTTGTAGATGGTGGACTAGCTTTGGGGAATCAGGTGGAGAGTTACTCGCCGCTGTATTTCTCTGACCTACGCTTGTAGCCAGTGTTTATGTGGCAAATCCAGTTCAGTTTCTGGTCAATGGTAAATCTTAGGATGTTGATACTGGGGAGAATCAGTGATGGTAACAACATTTAATGCCATGGGGTGGTGGTTACATTGCCTCATTGGAGATGGTGCAACTCTTACTTGCCACTTGTCAGCCCAAGCCTGGATATTATCGAGATAGTGTTGCATTTGAACATGGACAGCTTCAGTATCTGAGTCATCGTGAATGGTGCTGAACATTGTGTCATCATTGGCAGACATCCCCACTTCTAGCCTTATGATGGAGGGAAGGTCATGGATGAAGTAGCTGCAGGTTGAATGTACAATGGTATAGTGGACAGTTTACTCATACCTGTCAAACAAGTTCAGAATCTGAGGTTCCCCCAATACTAAATTCAGGATCCCTCTATTTGTCTCACTTGTAGTCACACTGCCTTTCCTTGACCACTGGTCAGATTTGAAGTACTAAACATACATGGTGTTACTGCCACCTGAAACACAGCATCCAGATAACTCTCCCCCTCCCTCATGAGTTAGTGTTTGAAGCTCAGACTCCAGTTCATCAACTGAAAGCAAAGTCCCTTGAACAACCAATACATACTACAGATACGGTCATTATGAAACAATGTGAGCTGCTAGCTCCCACATCATGCAGATACAACATGTCATCTGGCCCCGCATCTTGAAATTATTCAATTAGTTATTAATTTGTATTTTCAAATTTCCTACTGGTCTTCAGTTTTTAATCTGTAAAATATTTCTTTCGATTTACTTTTAATCTGAAAGTAACTTCGAATAGGTACTCAAATTTGCTGTTACTTACCAACAAATAAACTTACAACGTTTCCTGCAGTATCACTTTTTTACCCCCCAACATAATTCTGTTCCAAGAGTCTCCTCCCTTACTGGCTCCTCTCTCTCCAGGCTCCCAAGTGCGTGCATAGGCCTTGAGCTTAGGTCTTGATTTTTATTTCCTACTTGGCCTTAGTCTTAGTTTTCACCTCTGCTGGCTCCTATTTCCTCTTATGTCCCAAATTCCCGAACGTGTTACTTTCATATTAAAGAGAAGTACTCAATGAGAGGTAAGGAGGAATAGATCACGTCCTCCCTCTTTCACCAAAATCCAGTTACATTCTAATGCAACAAAGCAGCACTCCAGTTCAAACAGTGTACATATTCAGTGTCAGAAGTTATCTGACTGCAGGGAAAGGGTAGGTAATATGGCAGGACTGGACAGAATAATCAATTCCAGGCCCATTTTCATTTGGGATCCAAACACACTCACTCCTCAACCATCTCTCTGGATATTAGGAGCTATGATGGATTTTCACATCTCTCAAGGTAATCAGTTACTGATTCTTTCCACACCCTCACACATCCCTTTGCAAAAATAATTATTGAGAATCCCTTGACCAGTACTCTGACTGCCCAAAACTTGAAACATACTCATTTTCAAAGGATTCATTCGAAGCTCACCTGGCTGGTGCCTTGTCTGCCTCAATCTCCTCCAATTTTGAATAAATTTCTGTTAGCTTGCTGCTCTCTGAACCATCGCCCCTGAAAGAGAAAATAACGAGTTACATCTGCAGCCTAGTGATTGAACTGCAAAATTACAAACTCAAAAAGGTAATGTACATTTTTTGTTTACCTCCAGTGAAGTACATTATGGGCTAGATACCCCAAATACTTCAGTTCAGTGACTGTGTTTCAAATCCAATTGCATTGATATGGTAGTTCAAAACAAGCCAACCCCACGCTCATCTAACCATCACACCCACATTTTCTCAACAAGAACGCACCCTGCAAAATCATTCTGTCTACCGCACAGGACAAAGGGCAGGAGACTCATGGGAATACAACCACCTACAAGTTCTCTTTAAAGCCACACAATCCTGATGTGGAACTATATTGTGGTTCGTTGACTGTTAAAGAGGCAAAATCCAAGAACCTTCTTCTCAACTGTGCTATGGGCGTATCTACAAATGATGCAAGGCAGCAGGTCAAGGTGGATCACCATTACCTTCTTAAGGTTAATGAGGAATGGAAAATAAATGCTGGCTGAGACAGTGATCCTCACATCCCATATTTAAAAAAAAGGATAATTGAAACAAAAACCCAACACTGGCGCGCCCTTTCCTCACCTAATTGCCATTTAGCTTAATACTAGTACTCAGTAGCAATCTGAATGGAGATCAAATTTTGGCTCGTCAGCACTGCATGCTTCAGCTGCGCAGTGTCCAACTGAGAAACTGGGATTCATTTATTTGTAATAATTTCCTTCAGCTCAAGTGTTTATCTGAAAATTGCAAAACTGGGCAAAGTGTCAAGTTCTGTGAAACTCACCACAGCCTCTGAGGGCCGTGTTAGTCAACGGACCAAAAATCAGAACAAAGGCAGTACCCTAAACTGCTGGAGTACTCCTCACACAGGTATGAAGGTAAAGGAACTAAAAAGAGTATTGATTACATTGAGTATGTAAAGCACTTTCTATCCTCTTAAAACTGAATGCCTGTAAAAGTAATTGTTAATTTTTCACTGATGCAAGACAACAGGAATGATTGAATGAAATTTTATTGCTGACTGAAGCCCAGCCCACTGCAGCAGATGCAGTTTACCATATTTCAAGGAGACATCAGTAACTACCATAAATGTTGCATACTGATGTGACCATTGTTTAACATATTTATAGCTTAATTAATCTGTTTGGTTACTTCAAATCAAGTCACGGTCTTGTGGAGTATTTATTCTATTGCCTTAAAGTCAAGAAACAGTGGTATAACCAGTAAGCCAAGATACAATGACAATTCCCTTTCTTGTTTTAAACAAGCTGGTCTTCGCAGTAATTCTCATCCAGGATCCGAAGACAGTGGGCGCAAACTTAACTAGAGTCCTGATCATGCAGTATTACAGATTCTCCAACACAGAACCAGGTGCAACTAATCTATGCAAATAGATATGCTCCACTTCCCAAGTAAAGTCTAAACCTAACATCAAATCCTCCTAATAAATGATGACGAGGTCATAAAGAATCATACATTACAAAATAGTTAGAGCATAGGAGTCTAAACTGCTCTCTGCTCAGCCCACTCCCCACCCCTTTCCTCTGGACCTGTGAATGATTATTCTTCAGATACTTATCCAAATCTCTTCGAAAATCATGACTGAATTAGCCTCAAACATATTTTTGGACAGTGCATTCTTGACCCTAATGATTTATTGTGTTAAAAAAAAGATGCTCCTTATGTTACTAGAAGTTCTCTTGCCAATACTATAAATTGGTAACAGCTGGCTTTTAAAGCATCTGCTAATGTGAACAGTTTCTCCCCATCTACACTGTTTAGGACTCTCATGATTTTTTCACAACTTTTAATGTCAATCGAATCTCCTCTTAATCTTTTCCTCTCTCAGGAAAGCAATCTATTGAAATAACAGAAGTCCCTTATTCCTGGGATAGTAGGAACTGCAGATGCTGGAGAATCCGAGACAACAAGGTCCAGGGCTGGATGAACACCAGCAGGCCAAGCAGCATCATAGGAGCAGAAAGGCTGACGTTTCGGGCCTAGACCCTTCATCAGAAAAGGGGGAGGGGAAGGGGGTTCTGAAATAAATAGGGAGAGAGTGGGAGGCGGATAGAAGATGGATAGAGGAGAGGATAGGTGGAGAGGAAACAAACAGGTCGAAGAGGTGGGGATGAAGACAGTAAAGGTGAGTGTAGGTGGGGAGTTAGGGAGGGGATAGGTCAGTCCAAGGAGGACGGACAGGTCAAGGGGGCGGGATGAGGTTAGTCGGTAGGAGATGGGGGTGCGGCTTGAGGTGGGAGGAGGGGATAGGTGGGAGGAAGGACAGGTTAGGGAGGCGGGGATGAGCTGGACTGGTTTTGGGATGCGATAGGGGGAGGGATGATTTTGAAGCTTGTGAAATCCGGATCCAACGCATCATCCTCCGACACTTCCGCCATCTGTAATCCGACCCCACCACCAAAGACATCTTTCCCTCCCCACCCTTATCTGCTTTCCGGAGGGACCACTCTGTCCATGACTCCCTTGTCCGCTCCACACTCCCCTCCAGCCCCACCACACCCGGCACTTTTCCCTGCAACCGCAGGAAGTGCTACACCTGCCCCAATACCTCCTCCCTCACCCCCATCCCAGGCCCCAAGAAGACTTTCCACATCAAGCAGATGTTCACCTGCACATCTGCCAATGTGGTATACTGCATCCGCTGTACTCAGTGTGGCTTCCTCTACATTGGGGAAACCAAGCAGAGGCTCGGGGAACGCTTTGCAGAACACCTACGCTCGGTTCGCAATAAACAACTGCACCTCCCCGTCGCGAACCATTTCAACTCCCCCTCCCATTCCTCAGACGACGTGTCCATCCTGGGCCTCCTGCAGTGCCACAATGATGCCACCCAAAGGTTTCAGGAACAGCAACTCATATTCCGCTGGGGAACCCTGCAGCCCAATGGTATCAATGTGGATTTCACAAGCTTCAAAATCTCCCCTCCCACTATCGCATCTCAAAACCAGTCCAGCTCGTCCCCGCCTCCCTAACCTGTCCTTCCTCCCACCTATCCCCTCCTCCCACCTCAAGCCGCACCCCCATCTCCTACCGACTAACCTCATCCCGCCCCCTTGACCTGTCCGTCCTCCTTGGACTGACCTATCCCCTCCCTAACTCCCCACCTACACTCACCTTTACTGGCTCCATCCCCG